TAGTCAGCCTGAGAACAAGCAAACAACCATCTTGCCTTTCCCTCTAAGGAGAAAGGGCTTCCTGATAAAGGCAGACTAAATCGAAGCTATCACGTCTTCAACATTATTTTAGATATTACACAGCCTGGGCCCAGGAAAGAAATCTGAAAGAAATGTATTTTTATACAGCGCCTTTCACAACAGTTTCACAAGAGTCACCTTTACAGTACATGGGTGTGTTGCGATACATTCCCATATCATTTATGGGGATCAATTCATAAGCAAGGATAAGAGAAGACAAAAGAAGTGAAAGAAAGAAAGCCAGATGACAACAGAGGAGAGAGGGCCACTGTGGTCCAGGTCAAAGCCAAAGTCCATCAATGAGTCAGTTCTCCACACCGGCCTCTGTGGGGAGGCGGACTGAAGGCTTCCATGGGACTGAATAAAGATTCCAGCGCAGATGGTACCCACCCAGAGCACCAGCCAGACAGATAGGCAGGAAGACAGAGAACATGGGTGGTCAGAACATGCATAGACACATTCATAGACAAGCACAGTAGACCAAAAGGGCAGATCCTGCAGCACAAGCAGCCATTGTTACTGTACAGGGATTCATCTGTTAAGGTGCAGGTTAGCTAAACTGAAGTAACAGGTCTTCACTCGAAATGTAAAGATTGAGTTCCGGATCATGGATCATGGGGCTGCCACAAGCATTTCAGATCTGATTCACCATATTGCAGTGACAAAAAAATCTCACAAAGTTAACCTTTAACTTACTGTAAAAGTTGTGAGGTGCTCAAACCCGCTGACTCAACAATGCCCTCTGCTGGGCAGGTAGGAATAAGTACTTCCTGTTTTTGTACTCAGTGAAAGATTTTGTAAAAAGTAGAAGAAAAATTGAACAATTGAGCATTGCATTTCAATGGACATTTTTTTCTCACTGCTTTTTTTGAATGTTTCTGGGGACCTGATCTTGACATTTCTTCAGCTAAAAGAGGTCTTTAAGAGGGACTATGGTTTATCATTAAAACTGCTTACTGAACTCTTTGCAGACACGTTGACTTTCATTTCCCTTTGGATTCTTTTAAGTAATACAGCACACATTTTACAAACAGCAGTGAAGGTAAAATTAGACCAATTGCTGCAAATAGAGAGGGCACGATGTGATTTTTTCTTGTCCGATCCAGATATTAAAATTTTGAGTATTTGCCGATACCAATCCGATATTTTTCTTCCTTTATCAACTACTAAGCACTAAATGAGAAATTTGTATCAATACGTAGCAAACTATTCGCATTTAGTGTTGTAGCAGCAGTTTCTGACTATACAAACAATAGGAAAATTTAATAGTCATGTCATTACATTACAGGAGGGGACCCACGGTCAACAACTATTTAAAAACAGCTTTTTTGTTTTATTCAGTAAACAAATATTTCTTAAAGTGAAAATTGTGCAATCTGTTGCCAAATTAAGTATAATAAAATCAATATCAACAATAATAAAAATATCACTGAATACCTTAAATAACCATTTCTAGTCAAAAAGTATCCAGTACATGATATAAAATGGAACACAGATAAAAAAAAAAAATTAATAGCAATTAATGAAACTAGAAAGAATACAAGTCAGAATAGTTTGTATAAATCTGTTACCCCTGGCAGGGACAGAAACTCGGGAAACCAGAAATCTGGGGAGTCGGGTTTTATTTAGGGATTCAGGCAACCAGACATGAAGTGGACAGACGGAGAGTGCTGTCGGGGTCAGCGATCCAGGAAGGTCGGGCTGGGAAGATCAGTCCTACACAGGCACCAGGACCAGGGAAGAGACACACAGGGTGAGTACGAGGGCAACGGGCACGTAAAGGTGAAGGTGAGGAAGGAACGGGAGAGACTAAAGACAATGAATAAACGCTCAGTGAGCAGAATGAAAGGAAGCAATACCTGCAATACAAGCAAGGACTGACGGGAAGGTAGAGTCGGGGAAATTACTTACAAAAGGAATACATTAAGAAGGTCGAAAGTTTGGGTCCAGAAAGTACAAATCCAGACCAAAGTTTCGTTTCAACTAACCAGTTGAGTATTAAGAGTCACAGTCACAGAGTACTTAATGGGTTGGTTGAATGAAAACCAGGGTCTGGATTTGCATTTTCCACCCCGGTCTTTAATGTCGAGTAACTTCCCCAATACTACAAGCAGGGCTGTCGCTAAAGATTTTGTGCCCCATGACAGCATATTATACTGGCCCCCCCAAACCAGATCAATCGGATCTTTGGGGCTACAGTCACTCGGGGATCCTTGGGACCGTCCTAAAATGCCCCCGCTTCACAGCGCCCCCTGCTGACAGGGTTTTTAAAGGGACAAATAAGGCGAGACGAAATTTCGTCAAGAAACACCAGCACTAACCTTACATACATTGCACTCTGCAGTTTTGCATTCTTCTCCCTTCAGCGTAAAATACAGCAACCCATTCAGATAGGCGAGGATAATGTCCAGAAGATCCCTGGGAACGTGATAAGTCACTAATCCATTGTCCTTAACCCATAACAGTCTGCAAGCCTCAACGGCGACATACTAAGTCTGTTTATTACCCATTTCTAAACAAAGAGTATTGTACTGTACACTTTATACCTCAAATTACATTGTTGTCTTCTTTTAGACCTTTTTATATAATATACAAGCCATCTAGCCTAAAGTATGACCCTGTAAGACCTCGGTAAGTTACCACTGTATGCATTGGCAGCAATATGTTCTGGATTCATTATTAAAAATGAATTAGCAGCACTGAAAAGTTTCAAAGTTATGGCGAGGAACGTGAGATTCTACGTTCAGAGAGACAGCTAACATGTCAGTGAGGCTGGTTACTGAGACAGTGATGTGGGATGTACCCCGGCCAAGACTATTAATGTTAATGATATGATGTACACTTACACTAACAAATATTATGTAGTATCTATCCATTGTCTGAAACTGCTTACCCTATTCGGGGTCGTGGTGGTCCCACAGTCTATGGGCACAAGGCAGGGAACAACCCAGGATGGGGTGCCAACCCATTACAAGGCAAACTCACGCACCATTCACACACATGCACATCTATGACCCCAGCATGTTTCTGGCATGTGGGGGGGGGGAGGAGTACCCAAAGGAAACCCCCTCAACAACAAAGGGAGAACATGCAACCTGCACACACATGGAGCCATGGTGGAGACTCGAACCCAGGTCCCAGAGGTGTGAGGTGACAGCACCACCATGTCACCCCCAATGTATTACTAATATTTACATATTATGTGATTTTATGTAATTAAATCATTTTCAGTATTGTTTTTGGCTCACGCATCTGCGACTTTCTGCGATCTTTTGGCAAAATATTCCAATTTAATCATTCGCTGCCAACTCTCAAATAGCCAAACCTGCCAATGTCAAATGCACGAATGTGAAGGAGTTACTCTGTTTCCACACAGCCGACAGGACCACTCACATGTGTTAGTGAACAACGAGACATCATGAGATCCTCACTTCTGTTTATGGTGCATTGCACTATGGCTACAAAGCATTTTAGCAGTTTTTCAGGGTAGACCTGAAAAATCTCAGATGCAAAATCTGATCCGTTTCATACTCCCCAGCCCCCGATATCTGATCTAGCATTGTTTGCCGGTATCGACCCAATACCGATAGTGGGTATTGGGTCGGCGCCATCTCTCGCTCCAACCTCGTATTTCATTTCCTCTCCTTTCTGTAACTTACGCCGTTAGCCAAAGTGAATAACACAGCTCACAGTTTTATACGGTACTCTTGCACATGCGGATGTTTTACTGAGTCAGCTCGGGTTGGGCCAGCCACCGGGAGCAGGACCCTCCAGCATCCCTAAAGCTAATACTTTTGATTACAAGGCAGTGTCCTACCTGCCATGCTGAATGCTGCCCTAAAAACAGACAAATCAGAGACGATCGTAAATCTTAAGCCTAGAAGCTGGCAGACACAAAGAAACAGAAGATGTGAAGAATGGCCTTTATTTGTTTTCTGCACTAGAGAGTAGAGAGAAGGCATTTCTCTCCATTTGTTCACATTTCTGGCCGATTTATGCAAACTTCTGGGTTTTGACTGACCTTCAGGTTCCTAGGTTTGGGAGCTATATATCAAGTTAGATTCCATTATTATTTCTATGGATCAGACCCTTACTGAAGTTCCTTCCATAAATCTTCCATTTACGTTTGTTTCATACAGGGTCGAGTGCCTGTGCTGAAGTTATTAGAGAACATTACAGATGGGTATTTTCACGATGCTAATCACCGACGAGATGTTCCGAAAACAGGTGGCATGATGGCTCAGCAGGTGGCGCTATCGCCTCACCCTTCCTGGGTCGTGGGGTTGGACCTTGGCCTCACCCCCGCGTGAGCCAAGCTTACACATAGGAAGGTTCCTGGGGGTGCGTCCGAAAAACATGCTGCTCGGAAATGGTAAGTCCAAACTGGTCTCAGCATGTGACTAAGTGAGAAATGCGAGAGTGCCTGAAAATGGAGCTGGTGCTCACACCCAGTACGTCCTGGGATTCAGCCTGGATTTATGTGGGTGATTATTATAAAGTGATTGGTGTAAAACGACCATAACACACTGGGTGTCTTTACTGGGCTTACAGTGCAGCACAGAATGAAAGAAAATTGAAATGTTTAGCAGTTTTAAAAGTCAGTCAGAGGAGCACTATTTTATAGGAGTCTATTGATATTTTATATGCTGGAATTCTTTTTGCGATTGATTATCTGTATATGCTCTGTGTTTTTTCACACCAGAAAACAATCCACTCTACATCTACAGAATGAGTTACTGACGAATAAAACTTTACTTTTTGTGTTGAATTGCTTGGTACACTGAATTGATTCAGAGGTTTAACTGAAAAATAGAAATGATTAAAGTTGTACTTCAGTATAAAAAAAATGTCACCATACTTGTAAGTTGTTCCAACAGATTTGATTGTAGGATTCATTAAAAAAAAAAGGAATGTAATTCTGTCCAAGTGTAGAAATACACTTTTTCAATTATAGTTGTGTTTTTAATTGATTTGTATGAAGTGATTTGAACACATCCAATATAATAGTCATGTCATGCTTATGGACGTTATAAGAGCTACACCTATATAATGCATCATAGCATCAATTATACAGGAAGACAGGGGGTGGTGATGGCACATGGGCTCAGTGATTCAGTGGGTAACACCGCTGTCTCACACCTACTCCGGTTTCCTCCTGCAGGCCAAACCCAAGCTGTGTATGACTATGTGAATCTGACCTGCAGGGGGCAGACTTGTGCCCCAGGCTGCCTGGGAAAAGGTTACAGGATCCCTGCTCTGATTCTGACCACCATAGACGGTTATAAGATACACAGGCAGAATGGAAAAACAGTACTAATATCAAAACATGTATACATACTACAACATACTACAGAAACGAGCACCGCAAGCGGAATACAATCTCAACTTTGAAGCTGAGAGCTTAATGTATTTCAACCTTTAATAAGAAGAAAAAAAAAGTTTGCTCAGCAAGCTCTTAATTTTCTAAAGAGTGAATATCTCACACTGAAAAATTAGCCTTGATACTGAAACATACATATGATGTTACCGGTGGCCTCACAAAGTAAGCTAATGGATGTGACACACAAAAGTGTTTCTGAACAAAACAGCCCAGAAATGTCTTAAGAATTTTGAAACAATGTTGAAAATTAACTTCCAACATATGAGTATCTGAACATTTCTCTAAGTGCACAAAGAAGCAACTATGTGCTAAAGCCATAGTTCATTGCCAGCCTGTGAGGACAGAATGAATAAAGAAACCATCCTTATCACACTTTCATCAGAAAAACTCATATATGCCTTGTATCACTTTGAATTCAGGGACTAGTACAGTGAACAGACATATCAAAGAAGGAAGGTTACCATACCATTAATCAACGTGCTGGCAAATGAAACTTATTAAATGGGATTATTACCTAGCATGAGAATTTTATCTGAAGTACAAAATAAGAACAATTCATATAAATATTTAAACTAAGCATAGAACTTAAGTAGAATGAAAAAATAGCGAATGCGATTGAGTGGCACTTTGGTGATAATAAAAGGCTCATTACATCGACAGTCTAAGTAAATAATGTTATAATCAAGTAAATAAAAACAAGATATACAAGACGACGATTAGAAAATGGTTTGGATTCAGTGTTCCTAGAATAAATAAAAAAACAACAACAATGAAACGGATTCTGGAAGGACGGATAGCAGAAGCAAAGGCTGGGATGAGGCAGGGGATGGGATGTGTGTTTGGGGGTCATTTTCGGGGCCAGTGAGCTTGGACACAGAGGGGGAGGGACTGAAGGCCCCCAGCCAAAAAGGACTAATGGGGACAAGGAAGCTTTCATAGGCTTGGGGTCGCAGTTTGTTGTGCCGGGTTACTGGCAGAAGTTATTAGTGAGGAAAAGCAAAATCATTAATTTAAACACATTATGGAACACGGGGTAGGTACAGTATAACCGGGGTAGGTACAGTATAACCAGGGTAGGTACAGTATAACCAAACAACACCCACCTAAGAGGTGCCCAGCTAGTACAGAGAACTGTGCAATACATACTGCCAGACAGTTTAACCCCTGAGAACACAAAAGAAACCAGTGACTACACTCTTGAGACCCTCTACATGAAGTTATACTCTTCATGCATTAGTACATATACAGTAGGTACTTTTACTGAAATACAGTCAGGTTATGAACCTCTTGATTATATGTTATGTCCTTACATTCACTTCTACTGAGAGTGGCAGGGTAGCTGTACTACCAGGGACAGAGACACATTTCCTGCCCCCAGCTCTACAGTAAGCGTTTGGACTTGGAGATTGTCTGAGGCGTCTCCCATCATCCAAAGACATGTGATTCATGTGGACTAGCCTTTATGTCCCCCTTGGATAGCAGGTATGGCGTCCATGGGGTGCTCTATACTAACTATTCATGGTCAAAATATTTCGGATTACTTACCATTCCAGAAAAAAAAAACAAAAAAAACAGCCAAACATCAGAAAATCCCCATAAAAAGCATTAACTTGTGATCGACTACCCCTAACGACACAGGTATCAAAAGAGACAAGATGGCTGGCTGATAAAAATTAAAAAGCCAATATGAGACCAAGGGAACTTTGTCATAAAACACACCATGTCGCTTAAAGCTACAAACAAATAAAACAATAACACACACCCACACAAAACAAGGGAAAATAAAAATAAACCAAACCACGAGGCAAAACTGACAGCTAAACTGTTTCAGGTTCCACCTACAGCAATGTCGAATCCAATCTGAAGGTCAGTCTGATGGATTTTGGGGCTCTTCAGTCACCACCAACCTAATTGTACAGATCACCCTTATTTGCTTTCTATGGCCAAAAAGTCAGATCACGAGTCATAATCTTAATCAAATGCTTGTCTAATTTTTTTAAAGTGCACAGAATTTCATTTGCCTGACAAAAATGGACATGCTGCTGTAGGCAGTGAAATGAGGAGCACTGTGGTATATGCAAACCAGTTTATGCTAGTCCTCAAGAATTCGCGTGACCTCTCTGTGCCCAAAAATGTATGAGGCGTGACACACCAACAAATCCGATCACTGCTCATGCTTTTCTGAGGACACTTACTCACGTCTCGTTGCCAAGTCGGATGCTCTATCTTGCTTTATTTATTAAACACACTATTGCTTTATGAGTATGTCGCTTTAACCCCAAAGCCAGCCCCAGTTTGTGCCCAAGGAGATAAAAACCAAGTCCCAAACCCGATCACCCCATTTAATAATTTCTGTTAGTTAACGTGGACTTCAGAACGTGGCGCTTCATGATGACATCACGTACCGTTGTAGTACACCTGCAGGCAGAGTGCACCCTACGTTATACATTTGCCAAAAATTACATTTCAAGTTATTACATCCCTGCAGGTTTTCAGAGGAAAAACTTATTAACCTTAAAAACTACAAGGAAACAAGATTTTGTACAAACCCATGGCTACTTGCTCTTAAATGAATTTACAAGTTTTTTTTCCATATTTGAAATAGCATTTTATACTCACTACAGTTCTAGACTGCAGTCCTTCGGATTGAGTTAATTAACTGCGACCACAAAGCAATCGCCGTGTTCATCTCTGCGGTATGCCGGGCTATTGAACGCGATTTTCCCGCAGGATAGATGACAGGCGTTCACATCTGGAGCCGTAAACAGAAGTTTCTCTTTCTTTGTCCACTAACACGCAGCTCCTGTCGATCAGCACGGTCCCCTCCGGCTTTGTGGGAATTTAATAAGGTCTGCAGACCAATAAACGACACGGAGGGCAGGTTTTACTTCTCGGGGCGGAGTTTTCTATTCTACTTAACGTGAAGTGGTGCAGGATCTCCAGATCGAACACATCGCACCGCCTTCTGGAAGGATTGCATTCCCGGCAGCGGAGCACCTCGATGGAAAACGGGAATATTTAGGCATTTACTTGGGAAACTCACAGGTATTTTTCATCACACCCACTGGGATAAAAAATGCGTGTTTATTTACATGATCTGAAAGCCTTACGGTCACAGTGTGCGGCGTGGTTTTAAACTGCATCCCTCCGTCGCGTCTGCTGTTCAGATACAGGTTTGCTTGGTGGTGTTTATCCGTTGTCTGGTACTCCCCTCCAGGTGAACCTCCTCGCAGTGTTTGTCTTATGCATTGTGTATAAGCAACAGAACATAAACAAAATACCACTTTGCAGATTAGTAGTCGCACTATTTAAAATAAGAATGGATTTTTAAGACTGATTCGAGCTTTATCCTCTTTTTATATGCATTGTTATATTATTTATGTATGGATTTTTTTTTTTTTTAACAGCATTCAGTGCCTTTCTCCTGCCCCGTCATTGATGGGAAATCAACTGGATCGGATCACCCACCTGAACTACAGCGAGCTGCCCACAGGGGACCCTTCGGGGATAGAGAAGGACGAGCTGAGGGTCGGAGTAGCGTATTTTTTCTCGGATGAAGAGGAGGAGCTGGAGGATAGATCGCAGTCGGACAGTTACAAAGATCAGAGCCCTGCCAAGGAGGGTCCCGTCGCTCCCAAGGAGATCGAGTACTCTGCCTTCTGCTGCCAGGAATGCATTTTCTCCAAATTGCGAGAGAACGAAGATCTGAATATTTACTCCATAAAAACTTTGCTCGCCATGTGCAGGCCCGGAGATCTGCTGGAGCTGGTCACCAGCGACCAACCTCCGCACTGGGCGGTGTATGAAAGGAACGATCAGGTCATACACCTGTACAGGGGGGAAATCCGAAAGGACAGCTTGTTTGAGATTAGCAATGGGCGGCTGGGTAGGATAGTTAATAGCCGGTACAGATATAGACCGCTGCCCGCCGATCTGGTGATGCAGAACGCCAGCAGCCACTTGGGACTCGGCAGCGGGGAGATCTGCTGGACGAACTCGGAAAGTTTCGCCGCCTGGTGTCGGTTTGGCAAGCGGGAGTTCAAAGCCGGAGGGGAGGTACACGCATCCGAACAGAGGTATTTCCTAAAGGTGCACCTTTCGGAGAGCAACGTGCACACGCTCATGTTTCACAGTCTGGAGGATTTAATCAGGGAGCGGCGCAAGGTGGACGCTAGTGGAATCTTGAAGGAGCTGTCCTTGGTCAACGGGAAGGAGTGATCCAGCTCCTGTCATAACGTGCCCCACCCCCTCAAAAAAACACAAACAAACAAAAAAACGGAAACGGACCTGTTGGGACCTGCATGCCTTGTTCAAGGGCAGCTCTTCAATTTATTTCGGGTTTTAACTGTATTCCAGGAAAGGAAAAAAATATATGAATGTCCATTATTTGTATGGGTGACCATCATTCGTCATACCGATGTCATAAAAAAATACCTTTAAAACTCACACGGCACACATCTCGCCAAATACAGTACTGTCTGTTTTTCAGCTCTGCGTACCGTACATGCGACGGATGGTGATCGTTTTGCCGCTGTCCGGGTTTTGTTTTGCGTGCAGGCATTTTTTCCCCATTTTGTCAGTCTTGCCATATAGTCACCCACATCGTTCGACTAAATGTAACTACCGGATCAGTGTTTTTTGTTCATATTAAATAAGACCATCCCTTTTGCGCTGCGCAATCTGCCAACCGCCCGGTTTGTGCCATTGTTGATTTAACCTTTTTGGTTCTTGTGTTATTATTTGATTTTCGTATTTGACTAATATACCTTGTTTCATTTTTGAATAAACGTCGGCTGCGACATCGATCAGATCTGATGTGTAAAGGCCATTTTTACGGTCGCTGCCATAAATCAGGGGGCTGGCGCATGCCTTGGTGAGCACGTGCCGCGTCGGCGAGCAGCGCCCGCTGGCGCGAGCCCAAGCCGCCCGAACTTTGTCAAAGACGCACACGCGGGAGCGCGCTTGTTTGCGGCGAGGACGCGCAGCGCTAGTAAAAAAAAAAAAATGGTGGCTGCGGCTCGTACTGTATGTTTAGGGCTGCAGCTGTTAGCGGCTCAGACTTCCCTGCTTTTCACTGAGAGGAACAGCCAGACCTTGTTTTCATAGTCCATTGAGAATTTGATCTGAGTGCTAACAACATCTAAGGGGTATGCAGTGGAAAGACAATTTCCATTAAAAAGGATTTGGAAATAATAGATACCCCCCCCAAAAAAACTTATCTAACTCAGATGACAGTTTTGAGGACTAGCTGGTTTGGGCTGTTTTGTTGCTACAGTGTATGAATAAGAACACAACTGCAGTATTGTAGACAAGCAGTGGCCTGTTTGTGCTAAAATGTTAATGATTTTAGGCAATCCTTGTTTTGAATTGAATCTAATACTGTGTGGAACAGCTGAGTTTGTGTGTCATCAATTCCCCGATTGAGTAGATATTTCCCCTGCTGCTGAAACACCTGTGGTGTGTTTGGACATGAAAGGAACTCTGATAGGGTGATTAAAAGGGAACACACACCAATGAAATCACCCCAGACCACCCTAGCATGTACAGAGGCCCTGTTTGTGATTTAAGATCTGCTACAGTAGTATGAATGATGCTTCAGCAGGAGACAAATTGTATCCTCTTTTGCAGTACACCACGAACAGCTGTTGGTCCGACACCCCAAAATATATTTCGCTTGTGTGCCTCCATGATTCACGGTCATTTACTTCACAGGCATACAAAATGACATGCTTTACATTTTAGTGGTCGTGAATAGCTTCCAAAACTCTTTAAAATCTTTTAATGTAGCTGTGCTAGTGTAGAGGTAACGTATACTCGGAAGTCATTGGAGAACCACGTAAAAACAGCTTGCGGCCTTTTTTAATGATTTGACACCTGATAGGAGAGATTTCAGTATTTTTTTAACGTTTAGTATCGGTTGACTAGAACCATTGCCACTCACTAGCTTAATTTGTTGAGAAGTAGATGGGGTAAGGCCTACTCTCCTTATAAATAACAGGTGTAACGGGTTTGTACCTTGCATTTGCCCTGGGGTAATGCATGTTCATGCTTGTGAACAATGTGGTGTGTTAGAACACGTGTGAATCCTGTGATGTCATAACGTTGCCATTGTGATGTGCCGAATACTTCAAGAGATATGAATGTTTTCGGTCCATCCAGTATTGCAAGCGTATGGAAAACCTGGAGTCCGCAACTGCTGCCTTTAATGGCTGTCTTTCAAACCCTGCTGCACAGTCCAGTTACCCTACATGGAAGAACCTCTGATATAGCGTCACACGACTTCTGGTCCATGGGCTCTGCGGGAATTGTTGGTCCATTGCAAGTCTGGGCTTTCCTTCAAAACCAGAGAGCAGATCATTGAGGTTTGCAGCACAGTGCCACCAGCAACATGACCATTTAGCTCCAGTGAAGACTAATGATTAATTGTCATGATATTTCAGCACCTACAGTAGCAGCAACGTTTTCCTTTACAGATGGAGACCTCCTCTTTTTGTTTTTGTTGTTGTTGTTAAACAGTTAATTTGTTACTGATAACTAGGTACATGAAAAAGAAATACATTATTTCCCCTCTGAAAAAGCACCCAGAGGTAGTTTTTACCCATTTTCCACACCGAGGACAGAGTAATAGGCCTGATCTCACTCACTGCTCTGAGCACGCCCTGACCTGTTAGTCAGGTGTCACAAGCGCCGCCTTTCCCGACCAAAAGTGCAGTATAAAAGGCTTTTCTAATCTACCAAAGTGACACTTTTTGTTAGATTCAAAACCAAGGTTTTCCTCCTAGGGTGAGACATGAAGAAAGTGAGATGTTAGGCCTTGGTACAGGGATAGATACGAAGCACAAAACCTACAACGGAGATCCAGGCATGGATCCATTACTGTACTAATGGTGCAGGATGGGGTGCAGCGCTGTGACAGAGATTAATAGGACCCAACCCGTGTGAGATATTTCAAGACTTAGTTAAGTGTCCTGCCCGTATTGGGCACACTGCCCCCCCTCCACGCACCATGTGACGCTCCCGAGAGTGGGTCCTTTCGATTCATCATCCCCCCCCCCCCGAGTGCAGCTCCATGCAGCGACGCATGCGATATAAAGTCCCCCGCCGCAGTGTTTCAGCCGTCGCATCCAACGTAAGCACAAACGCTACCCTCCTCCCATCTGCAGGCTCACCATCTATTCCTTTCAATTCACATCCACTATATAAGGCATCTCGATTTAAAATAAATTAAAAAAAGAAACACATTTGCTGGTACACAAGATGGAACTGGTCAGATGGAGACTTGCTGTGATAGCATGGGGGGGGGGGGGGGGGGGTGGAATAGGACAGAAGGTCCATTTTAATCTCTTATTATAGGGTGTCCTCATCTTCTCCCTAGCTTCACCTAGTCTGACTGACAACCCAATATAGAGTTGGGCCACACTGCATCTAAAGTTAATTAATAAACGTCTCTGCTGGTTCACATGTAGAAATGTGGAATTTTCTCGGATGGTCACACATGGATTTGGAAGAAAAAAAAAAACCGACTGTGCAACAACCATGAGAAGATCTTAATCAAGCAAATTTGATTAGTGCTCTGAAAGGTCACGTCAAACGCAATTCCCCCTGGAGCCATTTTTTTTCTGGATTACCGCTGCTCGTAGGCCTCTACCTCTGCAGATCTCCCTGGTTTGTCATAGCGGGGACTGTGTGGCGGGGGCAAGTTCTTAAGGTCTGTTACTTGTACATACCTGTAGCACACATACATAAACAAAGATGGCCGCCTCAGATTTCTCCCCTTGTGCTGGGGAGTAGTATACGTCTCTGGGCAGCGATGGCACTTCCCACTTGAGGCTGTTTTGGCTTGGCTGGCGGCTCAGCTCATCTGTCACCACCAGAGCAGCTCCTGTTTTAATTCTTAGACGTTTAAAGGTTGAACTTCACGGGTATCACAGAGCAGAACAAACTGGTGGGGTTTCTGTGGGAGGTCCACACACAGACGCGTACACTTCGCCATGCATAGTCAAGATGCAAAGACCAGGCTGAAATGCTCTCTGTAAAACAGAAATGATATTTTAAAACCCAAACACAGATGACAGCTAAAATGTAACATTTATATGTGCAAATACACCTATAGTAATAGCCTCATCTCTGTCCAACACGTAAGCAAATGATGTCATAATTGAAATCCTGGAACACAGTATTTATAACAGGTAGCCACGAGTTTTGAACTCAAAAAGTATTTCAATTTAATATTTATGTACTGGTGAAATTGCACCTAACATCAACATGAATGAATTTAAAAAGCCTGTACATTACAGTACACTACTCATTCTACATGCATGCTGCCTTTTAAATAAAAACAGACCATTTTTATCCACTGAGCTTGTCCCCCACTTAGTCTGTTTGTGGCCTTGTACTTTTGTGAAGTATAGAGAATCAGACATAATGGTCAGCCTTGGCCTTGCAAGATTTTATACGTGTCATCTTTGTTCAAGACTAAAGAGATTTAGTCTTTGTGCAGAGATGCGTCCTTGTATAGAAATCCTCTAAGACCAGGAATCACTCTCGTTGCACTTTGCTGAACCCACACTACAGTGGCACCATCGTTCTAACAAGATGACTGGTATTCGGCGTGATATTCTTGGGGGTTCTTAGTCTAAGCTTCAGCAGGGCTGAGATACTCCCCATTTGGATATCTGCAAAGCATCTTCCTTCTTCTGAGTTCCATCCATGTAAATATCACATTCTTTTCTAAAAGTGCCTGTCACTATCTGTATGCTCTATATAACAACTCTAGTATGCATTCGAATATCTGAATTAATTACTTATGCATTTATCCCAAAGGGATTGAACTGATCAAATGTTGCCCAGAGCGTTTCCTGCAGTTGTACCGCTGGAAGAACTGGCATACAAAATAGTTCCTTGCAGCTGCAAACTCCATTCTGCATGCATGTGTGTCCTGTGTAACGTTATCGTGGTTTGCTCTGGGAGAGTACAAGTATGAATGAACTCTGTCCTAAGAGGTGCGCAAAGGCAGACAGGCATCCATTAGCCAGGTTTGGGCTGCATCTCATGCAGTGGGCTGTCAGAAGCTGGAGGGAATATCAACGCAGCCTCAGATGTCAGGAGATGGGGACGGCTGTCTAGAGAATGTGCTCCCGTACACGTGCAAGTAGTGACACTTTGACGCTTGGTGTGTCCGCCAGCAGAGACGCACATTGTAATCGACATCATTCTCTATAGGATTCAGTAAACAGCCCCGCAGAAGTGTCCCAAGCCACGGACCTCCCCTTCCCCTGCCGCCACAGACCGCTGGTCTCCTGGCTGCTGTCCTTCCAGGCTTTGCTGACCTTCCGTCGCTGTAGCTGGGTGGTCATGGTCGAGGCAACGTCGACAGCAAGTGCCCTTTCTTCATCAATCACTGACATGTTCCCTTTAAAAGGTGTACACAAAAGGCTCTCAGAAGAACCTCTGCTAGCATAATGGGCACCTTACTACAGATGAAAAATTTCTATAATCCGTACTTTTTCCAGCATCAGAAGGTCTAGCCCACAAGGCTTTTAGCGTATTCGCCCTTGGCTGATGGATTTGTAATGATACAACTGAGTATGTTTCCTTGCATGTGCCGCTGCCACAAATGCATTTTGTTATTTTGAAGATGTGCAAGTAGGTCACTATTTGAAGAGAAAGTCAACTGTTAAGCTTTAGCACAGGAAATGGTGTCTATATTTTGTGCCATAATTGTTGGCCATTTCATTCACCATACAGGAAGTGGACAAAATTGCTGAAAAACGTAACAGTATTCAAGGACCTAATCAGGCATTGGGCTGT